AATATAAGAGTACTCTATATCTAATTAGGGATATCCGTCGTTATATTCGTAGTAACTACGGAATCTACCTAACCGGTAGGTACTCGTTAGTAGATAAAGACGCCGATATATATATAACTACTACTACTAGTTTCTATTAAGAGTAGCTACTTAAATTATTAGTAAAGTAGATTAAGGAGTACGACGTAGTAATAGATAAGGACGGCCTAACTAACTTAAAGGAGATACTTAATTAAGAATACTACCGCTCCGAGAGTAGTAAGTATAAGAAGGTACCGGTCCCTATAGGAGATATTCGACTAACTATAAGTTCTATACCTATTAGTACTTATTACCGATAGGGTAGTAACCGTACCTTCTTCCCTAGTATCTTAATACGAGTAGATAGCGATAAGGTCGAGACTAGCGAATATACGTCTACCTTTATTATAGCCTATCGCGAGTTAACGTACTATACTAATAAGGCTCCTACCCGCTTCCCTACTACTACCTCCTTTTAGTATAGTAGTCTACTCTCGTAGGCTATTATTAGTTATCTCTTATAGACTAACCTATTAGTATAGGCTACTATTAACGCTATACTAGGTACTTAGGCCGAGTAGGACCTATACTATAGGAACTAGGTAGATAAAGCGGTTACTAACTTCGGTACTACCTACTAGACGTAGCGCGACGTAGAGATAGAAATCTACTAGGGTAATAAGAGCTTCTACTAGACTAAGTAAGCGGATTTCTCTAGTACTACTACTACTCCGGATCCTAAAGGCGACGTATTATCTACTTCTTTATAGTAGTTCGACTCGCTACTAGGCGGCTCTCCGGATCCGGAAGAGGATACGGGCCTAACTAGTAAGAATATAGGTCTATTAGGCGATAGAAACGTCGACGGACAAGATAGTATCGAGTTAGAAGACTTTATTTAAGTAGCGCTAACTTAGCGCTCCTTATAAAGTCTTAGTACTCGCTAGGCGTAGACGGAAGATAAAACGGTAGATTAAAGAGTATAGTTTACTTATTTTTATTTACTTCTTTTCTTACGCGCTTACGGGACTTTACTCTAGTAACTAATACTCTTTATAAGGGCTCGTACCTACTAAAGAGTAGGTACTAGAGAGGGAGAGTAGCGATGTTTTACTTGTTTATTTTTCTAGTTAGTAGTACCTACGGGACTTTACTTCTAGTACTACCTTTATAGGAACGCTAGAAGCGGAAGGGTAGCGTTACTACCGGATTTAATATATACTAGCTTCGGTATCCGTTTAGATACTAAGAAAGGGAGGGATAATAAGTAGTAGTAGTACCTAAGTTAGTATACCGGCTTAACTAGTACTAACTTAGTCTACGGCTACTTAAAGTCTTCCTCTCTAGTAGTAGTTAGTACTTAGTATCGACTTCTTATATAAACCTCTTTAAACTACCTACTCGTACGTTACTCGTAGAGACCTATTTATAGGTACTCGATTAGTTAATATACTCTCTTTATAACGTTAGCTTAACTATAGTAATTAGCTAGGTTAGGTTAGGGTTAGCCTTATTACTAGTATACTACTTAATTATAGTAGAGCTACGCTTAATAGTATAGTTAATAAGCTTGCCGGCTTCGATATTAACGAGTATCTACCTCCTAAGACTATAGAATAGTATATCTATACCCTATATTAGAATAGCTACGCTACGCTAGTTAGCGTAAGCGCTACTAACGAAGACGGCTATCGTATATACCTATAGCTATACTACGCTCTTCGCCGCGACCTAAAGGTATTCTTTAATAATAGTAGTAATCTACCTAAAGCTACTAAACTAATAGCGTAGGAGTACTTCTATCTAGACGAGAGGAATCGAGTAGTATAGGCTAAAGTATAGGAAGAAGATATCTAGGTAAATAAGCTAGAGCTAATATATAAAGATATTATTAACGTATAGGAGCGCGAGATACCTAAGAATATTAGAATAGTACTTAAAGATAACTTTGTCGCTAAATAAATAGCCGTAGTAGGTAGATAGCGATAGGCGTAGGATTTATAGGAATTTTAGTTATAATTTAATAGTATAGATTAGTATATAGAGTACTAGTAGATTAATATCTTACCTTTCTTAAATATTCCTTCTATTCGTATAATTCTATTAGTCGGCTACCTTATTACTTATATACCTCTCGAGGTACTTATATCCGAAGTCGATAGTAAGGCTATTAAGCTTATAGCCCGCTCTTATTAAGAAGAAAGATAGTAGGCGGGGTTACAGTAGCCTCTTTACTAGTTTAGCTTATAATTTAATAGTAGAGATTAGTATATAGAGTACTAGTAGATTAACGTATTACCTTTCTTTAAAATACTAGAAGGAAACTCTATTACTAAGTAGATTATAATAGTAAATAGATCGCGGTAGGATTAGTTATTATACTCGCGCCTCTTCTCGAATAGCTAACTCTCGCTACTATTATTCTTAATATATCGTTAAGTAGTATTATTCTTTACGATACGCTAAGTAGTAGTTAATAGGAGGAGAACGAGGTAGAATGTCTATAGAGTATAGTAGAGATCGCTAGTAGAGTATCGTATCCTTTCTCTTACTATCTCTTTAGGGCCTCTTCTCGAATAGCTAACTCTCGCTACTATTATTCTTTACGATACGCTAAGTAGTATTATTCTTAACGATACGCTAAGTAGTATTATTCTTAACGATACGCTAGGTAGTATTATTCTTTATAATATACGTAGGTAGTATTATTCCTAACGTATCGTTAAGTAGTATTATTCTTTAGGATAGGCTAGGCGGTATTATTCTTTACGATACGCTAGGCGGTACGAGCCTAGAGTAACGATAACCTCCGTAGCTTATACTAGATAATATATAAATTTAGAGAGCTTCTTTAGAGAGTATAGAGTAATATCTATCTTAAATCTAGTACGATTCTAACTATCGGTCGTAAAATAGTAAAGGGAGGATAGAAAGTTAAGATAGGTAAAGAGTATTTATAAAGTACGTAGAGAGTATAGTAGGTAGCCTCGCTACTTTATATAAGATTAGCTATAGACTCGAACTCGCTAATATCTACTAGTAGAGGCCGTAGTAGCTAGCTAGGCTATAGCTACTTACGAAGGCCCTAGATAGAGCCTTCGAAGCTATCTATAGCTAGCGTAATAATACTATAAGCCTAGCCTAATAGAAAGCGTACTACGCTACGTAAACTAGTATTACCTATACTCTCTATAGTACTAGTAGTATCTATACTAGAATACTCTAGTAACTCGATATAAGCGTAGAGATCTATAAGAGAGAAGTAAAAGCCCTAAAGGGTACTCTCGTAGCTATAGAGTATTAGTAGAGTACCTATAGATTAGGGAAATAAGATAATACTAACTCGGTAGTAGTAGTCTCTAGATTAGAGACTCGGTCGCTAGTTCTAGGCGCTAGTAGTAGTATAGGTAGTAGAGCTACCTCTTTAGTATTATAGCTCTACGTAAAGAGTATTAGTAGAGTATAGATAGAGTAAGGTAGATTATCTAAAAAAAAATAAGCTATACCGACTATTAACTCTTCTTATATTCTATATAGTACTTAAATTTACCTACTACTACTATATAGATACTACCCTTCTAAGTATAGCGATTATAAGGTATAGTAGTAGTAATACTATATTTAGGTACCTCTAAAATACTTCTAATCTTATAATACTTATAGAGATAGTTTATTACCTAATTATAAACTAAAGATAAAGTTAGTAATAGATTAGGTAAAGAGTATATATAGATTAATATACCCTTCTTATTATTAAAAATACCTAGACTATACTACGTTTCCTTAATATACTCGTTCTAGTTAAGAATATTAATATACTATAGCTAGTATAGATATTAAAGATACTATAGAAGTAGATCTAGAACTAGGCTAAAAGAGTATTAGTAGATTACGTATAGAGTAGGTAAAGGCTTCCTTACCTAACTTCTATAGTAGTTTTAGCTATAGTAATATTATTATTTATAGAAGAAAAATTAATAAGATAAATACTAAGATATATTTTAGTATTCTATTAATTTATTTAGTAGATAATAGTACTTATACTATTAAGCTAACTATATATTTAATACTATTATTACAATTATTAATTAATATATAGTCTATTATTAATCTATTTATATAATAATAGTAATAATAGTATAGGCTAATAATATAATACTCTACTTAGTATAGGAATTATATATTCGCTAAGTAAACAGCCGTAATAAAGATTACTATAGAGAGTACTAGTAGATACATATTACTAAGACTTCCTTTACAAATCTCGAAATCCTGAAATCCTAAAATCCTGAAATCCTAAAATCCTAAAATCCTAACTGAAATGTCCGTTATGTAGATCCGGAGCTCCTTAAGTACAAGTTACTGTCCCGAGCTATACCGCTAGAAGGTCGGCCCGACTTGTAGTAGTACCCTCGGCTACGGTAAACGAGGTAGTATGATCTCACCTCCTGTCTTCTATCCCTTGTGACCTCGTATAGAATACATCTCGCGTTCGATGTGTTATCCTCACATTCGCCGACCAATTGATAGAGACGGCGATGGCGACTTTGTACCTAGTGTCCCTGGGCAGTCCAGCCTGAGAGTCCAGCTGGAGAACCCTGGCCCGGGGGCTTTGCCTACTAAAAAACCTCTAAAAGTCAGCCTGTTTATGTCCCTAAACTCTAGATTGCAGCTGCCTCTCCGGCGAGGGGGGATCATCCAGATTAGCCGCGGAGCTTGCGAGGGTGTGGAGGATCCCGATAAGTGGAAGGTTTGGAATCCTTGCTTTAGTGGATTTTGCTTACGTCTCTATCAATTTTGATTAGGGCCAGGGGCTACTCAGGTTGGACTGCCCGGAGACACTTAGACATTGTACGCCTGCCCTGCGAGCATTTGGCCATATATCATACTCAAGGCACATGTCAGTCCCAGAAAGTTGGTGGGTATGACAAGCATATGTTGACGTGCGCAAGCCATCAATCTGGAAAGTCATTCCAAAGATGCCCCATCTTCCAAAGACCTTGTTTGCCGGTACGTGTCAGCAGAATTCCTTCAACGCCCATCAATTAGAGACTGATAGCCATATGCATCTAGGACAGAACCCGCTGATACAGTACGATTTGCCCGCGTGCAGCTACGTTGTGCATCGCTCACTAATCTCTGCATGTCTTCAGATTCGATGGCCTGATCACAACGCACTTCTTGGAGCCAGAGCCGGGCACTTCTTTCCAGATCAAGCAAACCTATCGCGCTCTTCCAACTGGTCAAGGCAGCAGCGAAGCTGCCCATGCGTACCGGGGTCCACCGCCTCATTTTCATGCGCATCAAACGGAACGATTTCGCGTGCTGAAAGGTGCTGTCGGGATCGAAATTAATGAAGAGATCTTCGTTCTGCGGCCCCAAGACGGCGTAGCTGTCTGTCCATCTGGGCAGATTCACCGATTTTTTGTCGATGTGGACCGATCTCATGTACCGGAGAAGTCTGACGCCGAAGACGATGGCGAGACTGTCTTGATGGTCAATGCTACAGACAGCGGCATGGATTTTGTCCTCGATCGTATCTTCTTGGAGAACTGGTACGGCATCCGAGTCGACAGTTTCAAACATGGCAACAGCATCGACTTTATTCAGCAGTGTGCAGTATGTTCCCAACCCCATCAAAGACATACAGGTTGCCCCAGTTGACCTCATAATGTAGACTTTCGATGGAGGGGACCACTATCTTCCATGGCCAGCAACTCTGCCTTCCTGGGTATCGAAGAGTTGGTCGGTCAGGATACGCACCTTCCTCGGCTATTGGCTGACTGTGGTAGTCGGTCGGTATATTGGCGGGTTGCTTGGATACACACCCTTCTACCGCGAGTACACGACAGATTGGAGATTTGCGCAAGCAAAGATGACTGGAACATGGTTCTATAGAAGGAACTTGCAGTTTGCCTACAAAGCTGCGGCTTCCTGGACCGACCTTGAGCAAATGAAATCATGGACGGATGAAAAGGCTGCAGCTGCAATGTGTGGGACAGCATCAAAAGTATCTTAGCCTCTCGCTTGAGGCTCTACGCATGAGGGACACATGCTACGTGTCCCGATCCACTGCCAACATTAGACATATGCCGAATCAAGATAGCAGCGGCAGTACCACGGCACGTGGCACCATTCTTCTGTACTGTCGATACAGGATACGCTGGTTGTTGGTCGTTGCAGGGTACGCTGGTTGTTGGTGCATTTCCCGTTTTCCCTGCAGAATCAAGCCCTTTTCACGTGGATTTCTGATTAAGCTTTCCGATCTCTGTCCCGGACGTGTATCCTCTATCGGTCACGCTGTCCAACGGGACGAGGTATGGCCCGCTTCTCGGGGAAGGATGAACCATATTGACAAGCTTTCACGCGCTGCATGGGCATGCTGGTTGAGTGAGCTTGACCAGAAAACACAGCGTACTTCAAAATGCAGTTTGTGCAGACCGAGGCGAATGTTCGTACTCTGGCTACCATTACGCCAGGAGATAGTAAGGACGACATGATACACCTGATTGTCATTGGTGCCGGAGTAGCTGGTTTATCAGCTGCTATTAGTACCAGGCTTGGAGGCCATGCAGTCACTGTTCTGGAAAGGTCAGCAAAGCTCGAAGAGATCGGTGCCGGACTCCAAATCACACCAAATGCTACTCGCATCTTTCGGCATTGGCAGATTCTGGAAAGCGTCGACAAGCTCGCTACGAAACCCACAGCTCTGTCGGTACGACGATACGATGGCACACAATTACTGGCCCATGAGAGTGATTTACAAAGCAAAGTCTATCGTCAATATGGCAATCCATTCCTTGACATTCGTCGGTCAGATCTCCAAGCTGTGATGCTGGCTAGAGCGCAAGAACTAGGAGTAATTATCAGGATGTCCCAGCATGTGCGCAATATCAACTTGGAACTCGCAGAGGTTGAACTGGATTCTGGAGAGCGTATCCGAGGCGATGTGGTGCTTGGCGCAGACGGGCTGTGGTCTCAATGTCGAGGCATCTTCTTAGGTCAAGATGACCAGCCGCAACCCACAGGAGACCTCGCATACAGGATCCAACTCAACGTTGACCACCTTGCGGATCCCACCTTGCGAGCGCTTGTCTCTCAACCCACCGTTAACTTTTGGATTGGACCTGGGGCACACGTAGTAGGATACTCAGTCCGGAACGCCACAGAGTACAATTTGGTGCTGCTGGTTCCCGATGATCTAGGCGACAACGTGCGTAAAGCCGAGGGCAACATCGGTGAAATGCGAGCACTTTTCCAAGATTGGGATCCTCTGCTGCGGAGCTTTCTGGACCATGTCGACACGGTTGAGAAATGGAGACTCTTCTATCGAAAGCCACTGCATAGCTGGAGGAGTGCTATGGGAACCTTCATTCTTGCTGGCGACTCGTGCCACCCCATGCTTCCTTACCTTGCGCAAGGTGCCAACAGCGCGATAGAGGATGGAGCTGTCCTTGGACGACTCCTGGGACACATCCAGCACAAGAGCCTCTTGCCAGATGTAACACAACTCTACGAGAAATTGAGGAAGCGGCGCAGCGAGACCATTGTTCGAGAAACTTTTGCTCAGGTCAGTCGAGAAGAATCGCTATGACCGGACTGCTGCTGAGTTCGACTTTTTCTACAGCGTGGAGATTTCCACATGGACGATGGCTCCGATCAACGCACGAGAGATGCAATTTTTCTAGATTGCCTAGACAAAGGACCCACAGCTCCCTTTCCAAGCCGGTGGTAAGTGAAGGGAGCGTCCATGACTCTGAAATGCTCCTGACATGCATGCCACCTAGGACTTGCCCCAAAGTGCAGCCGTGGCTGTGGGGCTACGATGCCATCAAAGATACAGATCAGGAACTGGCAGCATATACTTCTGGAGCTCCGCTGAGCAACCAGTCCAAGAGAATTGCTGTAGTCAGCTGCAGTACTCGTGCGGAGCGACTTAGCCCTTACATCGCAGAGTACATTCAGCAAATTATGGTCTCCCAAACGAGTTCTGATCTGGCAGTGCTGGATCTAGTTGATCTTGCCAAGCAAAACCTGCCATTGTACGACGAGCCTGCGGAACCACGGAGTCTCCCAACTACAGCCACAGAGGAATACTACAGCCATGAACACACCAAAGAATGGTCAGTCCGAATACAGAGCTTTGATGCTTTCATATTTGTCACTCCTCAGTACAACTGGAGTATTCCTGCAGCACTGAAGAATGCGCTCGATTTCTTATACTGGGAATGGACTGGCAAAATCGCTGCTATCGTTAGTTTCGGCTCTAAAGGAGGTGGCAAAGCTGCAGAGCATCTACACCAAATCTTGACCGGACTTTGCATGCAAGTAGTCAACACCAAAGTCGGCCTCATCACTGCAAAAGGTCTACTCGAGGATACCCAAAAGTGGCAAGGGATTTCTCCATCGTCGACTGCAGCCTGGCAACAGCATGGCGTCCCAGAGCACGTTGGGAAGATGTACAGCGAGGTGTTAGAACGGCTTTCTAGCTCGAAATCAGCCACATACAAATCGTAGACAATATCCTCAGCAGGGTCGCGAGCGACATCTTAGCCAGACCGGGTACATGTTCAAGTCATTCCGTATCAAGTCACTGCAAACTCTGGCCGAGTCGTACAATCATATGGCATCCACGTCTGGTCAGGGGTTCTCATATCGGGCACCGAAGGACAACGCTCCGACACTGTCTTCATACAGGTCATAGACCGCCTTACGTCCTACCCATGCTCCCTCGGTTTACGGTATTCACCCTTGGACCAAAGCTTCACACCGATCCCAGCAAAACTTGAAGCTACGAACCGGGGGACCGTCTCGTATATCGCGCCAACGTATGTGCATATAACTGCTTCACCACGACACATAACAAACAGAAAAAGAAGTTCTCATTATCAAGATGTCCCAAATGGGGCTGCTCATCCAACTACTTATCCCTACTGCACTTCTCCAACTGTGTTATGGAAGCACATTACCAGGAGCTGCGGTGCAGAAAACAACTCCTGGCAAGACCTCTTGCCAATATCCCCCAAACTCGCGCAAATGCTGGTCGTACGGGTATTCTATCGACACAGACTACTACCAAGAGCATCCTCATACCGGTATAGTCCGAGAGTATTGGTGGGTGATTCAGAACAGCACAATCGCACCGGACGTAAGTCGGTAGACTACATGGTTCAAACCAGCTTCGATTCATTCGCTAACGGGACGATTCAGGGTTATCAGCAATGGGCTCTCACAGTCAACGGATCTATACCAGGCCCTGCTATCGAAGTGGACTGGGGTGATGAAGGTATCGTACAGCAAAGTCTACCTGCACGCCTCTGTGCTAATTTGCGGATTATTGATCGTACACGTAACGAACAAGCTGGAAAATAACGGCACGGCTCTTCATTTCCATGGTGTTCGAATGTTTGAGAACAACCACAATGATGGTCTGGCACTTTGAAACTCCTATAAGCAGCAATATGCTAACAGCCAGTCAGGTGTGCCAGGCGTCACCCAATGCCCAATAGTAAGAGCCCTGCCACCAGTTTATTGCTTCCAGGAACAGACACTGATGTAGATTCAGGCACCAGGGGAATCATTTACCTATCGATTCACTGCGGAACAATATGGGTCAAGCTGGTACCATTCACACTTTAGCCTACAATTATCACTTGGTCTCCAAGGACCTATCGTGATACACGGTCCTGCAACTGCCGATTATGATGAAGACTTTGGAATACTGCTCATGACGGACTGGAGCCATGCCTCGCTCTTTGCCGAGTGGTGGTATCAGAGGGTTCCAAGTGGCCCGCCCTCGCTGGCCAATGCTCTAATCAACGGTCAGAACGTATTTGATTGCGATACGGTAAGCGATCCAAGATGTTTAGGCAGTGGGACAAGGCCGGTATGGCATTTTGCAAGTGGTAAGAAGTACCGCTTCCGTGTTGTCAACACCGCGCTGTACTCGAATATCCGCTTCACGATCGACGGTCACGCTCTGGCTGTGATCGCCGCGGATTTTGTCCCGATTGTGCCATATATCACAGACCACGTAAGTGACATGTAATCTCTTGGTGTACGCCAAGATCCCGGACTGACTATGTATCGTAGGTATTGGTCGCTGCTGGTAAGAATTGATCCCATCGAGTAATGAGATCGCCGCGGAGAATCTTGCTGATGCGAGTGTGTTCTCCCTCAAGGCCAACGCTACGACGTGGTTGTGGAAGCGAACGCAGAAGCAGGCAACTACTGGCTACGGTGGGGAATGATCCAAGTACGCAGCACACCAATGATTTGCAACGACTGACTATGGGCAAGCATGCACTGGCAAGAAAAATGCTGTCCCAACGATGCAGCGAACAACACTCTTGGAATCATTCGCTACGACTCCAGCTCGAAAGAGCTGCCAAAATCGGCCAACCAGGTCGCAAGACTTCCCGACTCTTGTGCAGATGAACCCCCGAGCAAACTTGTTCCATGGGTTGTTCTGGAAGTGGGCAGTCCGTCTAGCATAACAAGCCTCAATCTCGCCGACGACCCAAAGCTGCCCCAGCCAAAAGGCTTCATGTGGACTCTGAATCAGACCTATCAGTGGGTGAATTTCTCCGCTCCCACAAACCTTCTGTTGGCTGAGCATGACTACGAATTCCCCACGGAAGCACTCGTGTTTCCAAAAGCTCAAGTATCTATGGACGGACCACCAAGTGAAGAATCGTGGGCATACTTTGTGTTCAACGATATATCGGAACGAAATCGTTCCCATCCTATGCATCTCCATGGTAATGGCTTTCGTCTGCACCAGCTTCTAGAGAGTGGCCTCACTCACATCTCCCAGGGCACGATTTCTTCCTTCTAGGAACAGGCTATGGGAACTGGACCGGAGATATGACGACTTTGAATTTCAAAAATCCACCGCGCAGAGACTCGGCGACGTGGCCGGGTCGAGGTTGGGCTGTCTTTGCGTTCAAGACTGACAATCCAGGAGTCTGGTTGTTTCACTGTCGTAAGTTTTGTTGAATCGACAGCAGGCTGAGATCTTCATCTAATGAATAATCCTCATAGATATCGGCTGGCATTCCAGTGAAGGTTTAGGAGTGCAATTTGTGGAGCATGCGCCAAAACTTGTTCAACTTCTAGCGGATGCCCCTATTCAGCAACATCAGGATGCTTGTGCTTCCTGGAGGAGCTATTGGACGCCAGATGATCAAGCAAATCAGGAAGATACTGGTATATAGATCGGTTGGAAGCAATTTATACCAATCATGAAGTTCCGAGTTCAAAGCTTGCTTGTCAATGCGTTCCCTAAAAGTCTGTCGTTATCTCAGTGATAAGCCTGGTGCTTCAACGCTCCGTCCCTCTCACAGGTCGATACATATTTCGAGTACGTCCGTATCCAATGCCGTCGAGAACCCCTCTCCGATCCTGTGATTCTGGACTGATCGAATTGTATCACCCCCGATTGGCTTCAATTCCGACCGAAGTGGTTGCCCTTGCCAGGGCCAGATCCAGCAAATCCTGGATGCGGGATCAACTATGCCGATCGGGAAGCGAGGAGTTGTATCGGGCCAAGCAGCGTAAGCAAAGCGTAAAGCTGCGTCCTCATCTTCGACCAAGACCTTACTAGGACTTCGTCTCAACAATGCACCTCTCCGCCCACAATTGGATGCACCCGGAGCCCCTGGAGAATACCCTCGCCCGCCTCTCCCGCCACGGCTACCAAAGCATACAGCTCTCAGGAGAACCACAAAAATACGAATCCCTCTCCAAAACCCGCAACCTTCTCGCCCAACACAAAATTCACTGCCATGGCACCGTAACCCTCATGTTCGGCCGAAGACGCAACTTGATAAGCCCAGATGCCTCTATCCGCGCAGAAACAATCGCATACACCAAGTCTCTCACCCAACTGGCCGCTGACCTAGGAGGTTCCATCATCTGCGTAATTCCCTCCGGAGTCGGGATCCGCACACCCTTATCTTCGCCAGAAGAAGAATGGTCCTGGGCTATCACAGGCTTGCGCGAAATCTGCGCTTTCGCAGCAGAAAGGAACATACGTGTAGCAATTGAGCCGCAGAATCGGTTCGAGACATACTTTCTGAATAGAATCGATCAGACTTTAGCGTTAGTGGAACAGATAGGATCGGGGAATTGTGGAGTAGCGTTTGATCCGTTCCATCTAGCGATTGAGGAGAAGAATGTGTATGAATCCTTGAGAGCTTGTGGGAGCAAGTTGGTGGATTTTCATGTTTCAGAGAACAATAGGCAAGCACCGGGCGATGGATATTTTGACTGGGGGGAGTTTGTGAGGATTTTGTGCGAGATTGGGTATGGAGGGGCGTTGACATTTGAGTGCATGCCAAAGCCGGATCGCATTCTTCATCGGATCACAAATCACATGCAAGGTGTTGAAAGAGAACAGCCGGAGCGGTTGAAGGAAGTATCAAAGGAGGAAATTGAGGCGGTCAAATTCCACGCAGCAGGGGTCATGACAGACGGCTTCTTTGAGGGACTGGTGGAAAAGACGGCAAACGTTCTTCTGCCATTGATCAATAGTCGAGGGGACTAGCCATGTAATCCGTTATATCGCAGAGGAATCAGTTCTGGCACATTATTTGAAGTTTGCAAGCCCAACAGCCATCTTCTCACGCCATTCTTCGGCATGCCGCTTCAAGGGGAAGAGGGTCACAATGCTCGCCAAACAAACGCCTCCAACCAAAGTGAACATCCAACCAGGCTTGAGATTCGTATCCATCGGCTGTGAAACAGCGGCCGCAACGCATGCAAGCGTATTACGAACCAAGTTATTCATCGCCACCCCCAAGCTAGCCTTCTTCGGTGTAAATTCAGTCAGCATCGTCGTCGTGATGTTGAAAATCACCGCCTGCCCGGCTCCATAGACGAACATGACCACACACGGTCCCATCCAGTGTACTCTGTAACGAGCCATCCAGCCATACGCCAACAGCGCCAAGGGATACATAATACCCGCTCCCCACGCGTGAATGCCGATTCTGTCTTGTGGTCGTAGCATAAGGCCTCCCTTCTCATCGTATCGACCGGCCGCTTTGGCTTTCCGGATCATGACAAGGTCGGTCAATCGGCCTCCAAAGATGCCAGCTGCGGAAGCGCCCAATGCACTAGGGAGGTACATCAGACCAGTCTGAATAGCGTTGAACCCCCAAGGAGCGTCGGTGTAGGTTGCTTGGATTGATATATTGAGGAAATAGTACGAAGCAAAAGTTATGCTTGCGTACCACACGACCAGGGTAATTGGGAGGAAGCGGAAGAGCGGCAGGGTTCGCACAGGAATGAGGAGGATGCGCCAGGCCTTTTGCACTCCGGAAATTAGGCGACGAGGGCTCAATACAGTCTTGGTAGCTGTCGTTGGTGGCTCCATAGGTCGTTCAGGTTTGGTCTCAGGTAGAAGCATAGTCAGAATTAACCAAAGCAGCGCAGCATAGATGGTAAGGAACCACTGCGTACTACGCCACCCCAGACCATGTGTCAAACCACCTCCAATAAGAGGGGCAACAACAGGCGCCACCATAGGACCCATGAAGAAGACACCCATGGCATGACCTCTTCTCTCCGGCAGCCAGAGATCCGCCAATGTACCCGCTCCCATAGATTGCACAGCAGCAGAAGAAGCACCCGCAAGCATACGGAAAGCAATGAACATGTCCACGCTCGAAGACACTGCCGATGCAGCATTGAACGCAGCCAGCAATGCGAACGATAGTAGATAAACTGGTCGTCTTCCAAATCTCTCCCCGAAAGCCGACCAATAGAGCGGAAAGATGGCGACCGAGAGAGAGTAGAAAGCAATGGATAAGTTGACTTTCTCTCGTGTTGTCCTCAAGTCGCGGACCATGGGTGGCAATGCAGCTGGACGTGTATCATCAGCTGAGGACGTCTGATCATTGCTTTTCCTGCATCTCGGACTTACGCATAAGTATAGTACTGCCCAGAGGAGCCGCGGCTGCACAGAGGGAAACAATGACTGTCATCATCCACTTCAGTGCAACTGGATGTAATTGCGCATCTGGCAGAGGTTGAACAGCAGGAATATTCAGCACAAACATCGTCGATTCTGATCCAGACCGGGTTGCAGTCATCTCGGACGCTGCCGTTCCGACGCTGGACTCGGTAGTATTTTCAGTTTTGCAACGGTCCTGGTCCGCGGCACCCGGTTTTATCGCCATGTCACAGATAGTCAGTGAGGATGGATGCCGTGAGGTCTCTATAGAGCCATTCCGGACGCGCGCTTTGAGTAAGAAGCCTATTTATGTCAAGGCAACTCGTGCGGGAATGGAATGTCGGCCGGATGTCGTGCAAGAGGGCGGTGTTCGGTTCTAGACAAGCTTTCTTCCTAACTGAAAGGTTAATCGAGGCAGTCTATGTCTAGTGCAGGGGCGGCGAGGCCCATGTTCAAATACTTACTAGACAAAGCTCGCCTAGGGAGATCAAGTTGTTACGTTTCTAAACGACTTACATACCGTAAATCTCGATTTATTAGTAGCGTAGATAAGTTAAGATACTCCGATTCTACGACTTCTAGCTCTAGGTATACGAACAAACCCGGAACATACGGTTAATTTTTCCTAGACTATTTAAAGTAACGTAAAATTACGATATTAATGTTTCGTCTACTAGTTCGTCTAAGATTCTAGCTAGCTATCTACCTAATTTTACGTTACGAGCGTTATCTCGCTCTAATACTATAGGGCCAAGTATAGAGTATCGATATAATAAGCTAATAAATATTAGCTAAATACGCCTCTATAGACCTATAATTAAGAGATATCGTATATATATAGAACTCTTAAGATATATCTTTAGATATAGTAGAGTAGAGATAATAGTAAAGAATTTTCTTCTTTTAAAGATTATTTAAGTAGTAAAGTTAGTAGAAAAGCTTAAGACTAGCTAAGTACTTTAAGCTATAATAAAAAGAGATAGAGCTAGAATTAAACTTATTAAGATACTAGAGTTTAGCTTTAAATACTTTAAGCTAATAATAAGTAGTAGTAGTAATAAGGCTAACTCTAACCTAATCTAGCTAATTACTATAGTTAAGCTAAAGTTATAAAGAGGGTATATTAACTAATCGAATATCTATAAATAGATCTCTATAAGTAATATATAAGTAGATAGTTTAAAGAGATTTATATAAGAAGTTAATACTAAGTACTAACTACTACTAGAGAGAAAGACTTTAAGTAGCTATAGGCTAAGTTAGTACTAGTTACTCTAGTATACTAACTTAGGTACTACTACTACTTATTATCTCTCCCTTTCTTAGTATCTAAATAGATACTAAAGCTAGTATATATTAAATCCGGTAGTAGTACTACTCTTCTACTTCTAGTACTTTATAAAGATAGTACTTAGAAGTAAAGTCCTATAAGTACTACTAACTAGTAAAATAAATAAGTACAATATCGCTACTCTCTCTCTCTAGTACCTACTCTTTAATAGGTACGAGGCCTTATAAAGAGTATTAGGTACTAGAGTAAAGTCCTATAAGTATCGTAAGAAAAAGAAGTAAATAAAAATAAGTAAACTATATTAGAAAGTACAGTCCTTAGCGGCTGTACTAGACAGGGCTAGTTACATGATTTAGTTATGTAACCTATAGCTAGGAACTCTAAGTTTAGGAGGATTATACATTACTCTAGATAATTAACTTAATTAACATATTAGTTCCTACTACCTACCTACCTTATAGACACCTTCCGCTATAGCTATACCTATATAAAACTGTTATTAGGACACCCTTTTAGGGACTTAGTAGAAC